CTCGGCGGGCTCCCTCTTCCGATGTTTCACGGCAAGGGGATCTTCAAGCTCCCCTTGTTTACGGAAAGAAGATGTCGGTGAACTTCAAATTATTCTTCTCATTCGGCGTCGTCGTCGTACATGCTGCCGCCGAAGTACTGGTTGTAGCCCGTCTGGTGCGTGCGGTAGATGCGCTGGCCGCCCCAGACGATGGGGTGCGACTTCGCGGAGAAGCCCGTGAGGAGCAGGTCCCGGATGGCCCACTCGTAGACGACGACGTGGAACATCTCGGCGAGGAAGAAGTCCAGAATCCCCGCCGCGAAGGACAGCGCCGCGTCGCCCGTCGCGCCGCAGTACGCGGCGACGTTGACGCACCCGCAGATGAGGACGATGACGAGGAGCTGGCAGACCTGGTACGTGTTGACGAGCCTCGGGTAGTCGGCGAAGAGCTTGTCGTCGGCGACGATCATCTCCGCGTCGGACGTGATGCGCTGCATGGACACGACGCCGGTGAGGATGAGGATCGCGAGCGCGAGGAGCGTGAACTGCTCCGCGGCGAAGAGGAGCCGCGCGCGCGACCGCGGCGCGTCCGCGACGGTCCGCGCGACGACGGCCGCGGGGCACGGCGGGTCGCCGGCGCCCCCGACGACGGCGCCGCCGTCGTCGTCGTCGAAGACCGCGCCGAAGGACGTGTAGCGCGGGCCGACGCCGAAGCCGACGTCGAGGTTCACGAGGAAGAGCAGCGCGGTCGCGTTCAGCAGGATGTTCAACGGCCCGTCGGACGTGCCGATGATCTGCACCGACTGCTCTACCGTGACGACGAGGAGCAGGATGCGCATGTGGTAGACCGCGTAGGCCAGGAACAGGCTCAGCGCCGTGCGCCAGCCGCCCGACGGCGCGCGGCGCGGCCCGTTCTCGACGAGCTTGGTCATGAGCAGGCAGTGGGACACGACCAGATTCTGCAGCGACCCCTGCGCGCCCGTGATGACCGTGAAGACCGTCGCTAAGAGCGTCAGGAACACGAAGACGGGCACCCCGAAGTGGCTCGGCTCGTTGTGCTGGACCTTGGACGTCATCGACGGCGTGCTCATGCCCGCGGGGTAGAGGTAGTTGACGTAGGCGTCGTCGTCGAGATACGTCCAGTCCACAGCCGCGGCCTGCGTGATCCAGACCGCGCAGAGCGCCGCCACGGAGAGGACGAGCATGCCTAAACTGATCGCGACGCCCGCGGCGACGCCGAGGTCGAGCGGGCCGCCGCTGTTGCGCACGAGGAGGTAGACGACGCGCGTGTGGAACGTGTTCTGCACGCGGTCCTCGAGCGACGCCGCGAGCGCGTCGATCCGCGCCGCGCGCCGCGCCGCGGCGGCGTCGGCCGGCGCGTCGCGCGCGGGCGCCTCCTCCTTCTCCTCGTCGGCGTCGAGCGCCTTCTCGTCCGGCGCCTCGCGCTCGCGCCGCTTCCGCGTCGCGCGGCGGGACCGCTTCCCCGCGACGCGCCGCGCCTGGGCGTAGACGACGTGCTCGGGCGGCGTGTGGGGCGGCGCGAGCTCGACCTGCTGCCCCTGCGCGCAGCCCGCATCGCCGCAGCAGTCGGCCACCAGCATGACGATCAGTGAGCACCGGCCACCCCCATGCTTCTTCAGATTATTAACTGCTGGCTAGGTTTACCTCACGAAGTCGTCAACATCCGAAGGCACGCTCGTGCACGCTGGCTGCCCACGATCGCCTCTTGGACCAGCCCGCGTGCACCGAGTCGTCTGGCAGCCCCATCCGATCGTGCACCGAGTCGTCTGGCAGCCCCGGCGTTCGTTAACGACGTGAGCTTCCTCGCAGTCGGACCGGACCTAAAACCATGGGCGAGGACGCCATGAGCGACGCGCTCCTCGATGCCGACGCGCTCGAGGCGGCGGCGCCGGGCGCGACGAAGCTCGGCGTCACGCCGGCGACCTGGCTCGCCGTCGTCGGCCTCTTCCTCGTCGCGGGCGTCTTCGAGATCGGCGGCGGCTGGCTCGTGTGGCGGTGGCGGCGCGAGGGCAAGTCCTGGCTCTGGGGCCTCGGCGGCGCGGTCGCGCTCGTCGTCTACGGGTTGATTCCCACGTTCCAGCCGCCGGCCGCGGGCGAGTTCGGCCGAGTCTACGCAGCCTATGGGTGCTACTTCATCGTGCTGTCGCTCGGCTGGGCCTGGGCGCTCGAGGGCCAGAAGCCGGACGCGGGCGACGCGCTCGGCGCGGCCGCGGCCGCGGTCGGCGCGGCGCTCGTCACGTTCTGGCCGCGGGGATAAAAAGCGGACTCGTGCGGACGAGAGCAGAAAAGCCTAGGGCGGGAAGACGCGCGCGAAGAGCGCGCCCGGGTCCCCGCGGCGCTTCGCGGGGTCGGCCGCGGCGAAGAAGTCGCGGACGACGCGCCGCTTGAGCTCGAAGTCGCCGCGGTCCGCCGGCGTGAGGCGCGGCCCCGCGTTGAACTCGACGACCTTCGGCGACCCCGCGAGGAGCAGGTCCGCGCCGAGGAGCCGCGCCGCGGGGCCGCCGCCCGCGCAGAGCCCCGGCGCGGCGGCGGCGACGACGCGGCCGAGCACGGCCCCGATGGCTCCGGCGACGGCGGCGGGGTCGGCGCCGCCGAGGTCGTCGATATCGAGGTCCGCCTGTGTGGAAATCAACCGCTGGTTTGGGGGGTCCCCACCAAACTTCAGAACTCTCTATCTCGATCAAATCGAAGTCGATTCGGCTGATCTTTGGACGAATCGATTGCTCTCGTTGAGTTCTCGAAGCACGGCAGAACAGCTCGTGTCGAAACCGTCGCATACGCGCACATTGAAGTCGGGTTGAAGATTTGATGTCCACGCAGAGGTCCGCGAGGCGGAGCGGGAGGTCCGGCGAGCCGCGGTTCGTCGTCGCCGCCGCGGCGGCGTCGCCGCCGTAGAGGCACTTGAGCTCGCGGTGGAGGCCCGCGACGACGCCGCCGGCGCCGTCGCAGGCGAGGCGCACGAACGCGCGCACGCTGAACGCGCGGCCGCGGACGCGCGTCGCGTCGCGCTCGAAGACCTGGGCGACCTCGAAGCCCCGGGCTTTCGCGCCGAGCACCCAGTCGAGGTTTTCGCCGAAGGCGAGGCCGGCCTTGCCGTGGACCGTGCCGTTCTTGACGACGTAGGCGCGGCCCGGCGCGTGGTCCGCGCGGAGGAGCTCGACGTCGGAAGGGTCCGACAGGTCGTACGTCGCGGGCGCGAGCGCCGACGCCGCGTCGCGCCCGTAGTAGGCCGCGAGCCTGCGCCAGAGCGTGACCTTGTTCGTCAGCAGGCCCGTCGGGTCCGCGATGGGGTGCACGGCCGGCGCGCTGGTGCTCGTCGGCCGGGCCAGGTTGTCCAGCGCGGCGCGCGTGCGCGACGCGCGGCGCGGCCCGCGGCGGCCGCGGGCGGGTGGGTCGTTCGCCCGGGCGGCGAGGAGCACCAGGGCGCGCGGCAGCCAGCGCATTGCCAGGCGCCAGGCCGGCTTAAAGGCTGCCCATGCCGCCTGAAAAAGTGCACTTGAAGTACTATTGAATAGAACCTAAATTATTGTCGCCGCGCAAAAAAAGGGCAGCTATGGCTGATGTGCTCCTCTCGCTGTGCGTCGACGCTGCATGCGGCTGGGCTTGTAAGACGACCGCTGCAAAGGCGGCGTCGCTGAACGGCGTGACCGGCGACCACGCAGAAAAGGCGAAGAAGCTCCTGACGGAGTCGCCCATCCAATGCAGCGTCGAGCCCAGCCCGAAGCAGCAGCAGATGGTCGAGCGCGAGAGCAAGGCGACGCTGGCGAAGACGGATAACATCGACAAGTGCCCGAAGATGCACTGGGACGCCAAGGAGACGATCACGGTGACGCCCGCGGCGGGCGCGTCGGCGGCGTGGATCGAGCAGCGGACCGGCAAAGGCACGACGCTCTTCGGCTTCAAGGACTACAAGACCGACGCGCCGGCGGAGGAGGCCGACGGCATGGTGAACGTGTCCATGGACGACGGGGCCGCCTTCACGGCGCCGCACGTCATGCCCATGGTCTGCTGCATCTACCACCAGAACTACTCCGTCGCCGCGTACGCGCGCTACGACGACGACAAGCTGACCTACGTGTCCTACATGCGCTACGGGTCCGACGCCTGGGCCGCGCCGTGCTTCAGCAGGAAGGGCGGCGAGGCCACGTCGAGCTAGGCGCGCGTAATCTCCGAAACGGCCTCTTGTTGCTGTGCAACGTTAGCCTGACGGGGCAGCCGACGATGATGGAATCTCAGAGCTTGTGATGGCGCGATTGTAGCACCCCCAATCCATTCGAGAAGGGTTCTCTATGGGTCGCGCCGCGGCCCTGGTCGCGCTCCTCCTGGTCCGCGGCACCGAGCCCGCGGCGCGCTTCGAGCGGCTGCACCGCGGCCCGCGCCACGCCGAGGTCTACGCCGACTTCGCCGCCGCGCGCGCGGCGTGCGACGCCGAGGGCCGCTGGGCGGCCGCGGCGCCGCCGCCCGCGGCCGGCGCGGCGGACGTGACGTACCAGTTCCACGGCAACACGAGCGACTGGGTCCGCTGCGCGGCGCCGACGCGGCGGCCGCCCGTCGCGGCGTGGGCGGCGAACGCGACGGGCTGCGGGGCCCAGTCGCGGCGGCGCTGGGCCGGCGTCGGCACGCCGGTCTTCCGCTGCGCGTCGAAGCGCTACGCGCCCAGCGTCGTCGACCCGGCGGAGGACGAGCGCGGCCCGGGCCGCGGCCGCTGGGCGCCGCCGGTTCGCCGCGACTGCGAGGTCGCGACGGCGGGCGGGACCTGGGCCTTCGTCCGCCTCGGGCCCTTCGTCGGCGCCGGAAACTACGACTGGCACTCGGTCATGCTGGGCCGCGTCGGCCCCGCGCGCGGCGAGCCGCCCTGGGCCGTCGACGCGTGGTCCGTCGCGCCGACGGACGAGGCCGGCGCGAGCCTCTCCTTCCCGCCCGTCCACCTGCACCACGCGCACCTCCGCTGGCGGCCCCTCGACGGCTGCGACGACGACGCGCGCGGCGGCGCGGAGGGCGAGGGCGCGCTCGTCTTCGAGGCGCACGCGGACAGCAACTGCGCCGCCGCGGACGGCGGCCCGCGGTGCTTCCTGCGCGCCCTGCCGGCGGGGGCGGCCATCGACGTCGCCAAGGCGCTGACCTTCGACGCGCAGTTCAACGACGTCCGGTCGAGGGACGCGGCCGCCAGCGTCCTGTGGCCGTGACGATTTTCGAGAGATTTCGGCTGGGGAAACGATGAAAAGTCGTTACCGACACATTTGGCAGGCGGCCGCGCCGTTCTACGCGGAGTTCGCGCTCCGGCGCGCGCCGCGCGGCGCCCCTACTCGGCCCGCGGCGCTCGTGACCGCGGGCAACGACGCGCCCGGGACCGAGGACCCCCTCGGCGCGCTGCACCTGACGCTGGCCCGGGGCCTGCGGCGGCCCGCGGTCTACGCGTTCGGCGCGGCGGCGCCCGCGGCCGCGTTCCGCGGCGGCGCGACCGCCGCCGAGGTCTTGGACGTGTCCGTCCACACGCACCAGCGCTACTCCCACAGCGTCTACGTCCTCGCCGCGGCGCTCGAGTCGCTCGACCTGCCGCCGCAACGGGCGCCCTACGAGGGCGCGGAGCTCGACCGCGACGCGCTGGAGAAACTAGCGGCGCGGCTCCGCGCGCACCCGGCGCTCAAATACGCGTCCGACGGGCCGGGCCTCGAGTTCGTCGAGGCGGGCGGCGGGAGCCGCGCGGGGCTCTACGACCGCCGGCCGGCGCTCGAGCCGCGGTCGCCGGCGCCGTGGACCTGGGCTGCGGGCGACCGCGTCGCCGTCGTCTTCCTCGACAGCTACGGCGCCGCGTCGAGGCTCGCGCGCGGCGCGACGAACCTCTTCGCCGCGACCATGGGCGGCGCCGACGACGGCAAAGCGCCGGCGCCCCGGCGGCCGACGGCCTCGGCCTGGGACGCGCCGCGCGACCCCCAGCACTACATCGCGCGGTTCACCGTCGCCGCGGTCCGCGGCTCGACCGCGCGGGCGCCCCTCGCGTGCTGCTGCGCGGGCATCGACACGCTCGTGCGGCTCGACGCCGCGACGGAGGCCGACATGGCTGCGATGCGCTTCTACCGCGGCAGCCTGTCGAACGCGAGCCAGGCGCGCGCGCGCGCGGCGGAAACGCCGACGGCCGCGGCCGCGCGGACCGCGCGCGCGTGCGAGGGCGCCGCCTGCGTCGACTACGCCCTCGACGTCGCCTTCCTGCGGCTCCCGACGGACCGCGCGGGCGTCGAGCTCTGGCGGAACCGCCAGGGCGACTGCGCCTACACGGCGAACTGCGGCTAATCCGGACACTCGTTAGGCGAGCCCCGCGCGGTCGTCGCCGCCGCGCCTCGGCGGCGCGATGCGGAGGAAGCGGCGGTAGACGATCGCGTCCGCGAGCTCGAGGCCGCCGGAGTCCTCGGCGTAGGCGAGGATGAGCGCCTGGCCCGCCGCGAGGAGCGGCTCGAAGGCGAGCGCGGCGACCGCGTAGCCGACGGCGAAGGGCGCGAGGGGCACCGCGCCGCCGCCGTCCGCCGCGGCCGCGGCGAGCGCGGCGAAGGCCGCGAGCGCGGCACGCGCCGCGCCGCAGCAGCGCGCGACGCCGTCGCCGTCGAGGAGGGGGCCGACGCCCGCGTCGTCGACGAGGCCCCGCGCGTCGGCGGCCGACGCCGCGAAGCCCCGGCCGCGCGTCGCCGCGACCGCGACGGCGACCTCGCGCGGCCACGCCGGCTTCGCGAGCCAGGGCAGGGCGCCGCGCAGGCCGTCGGCGAGGGGACAGACGAGCGCCGCGCGGCAGACCGTGCCGAGCGCCGCGGACGCGGCCGCGGCCGCGAGCCGCCGCGCGGCGGCCGGGTCGCCGGGCGCCGCGCGGAGCGGCGCCGCGGGCGCCCGGGCGACGTCGGCGAGCTGCTCAAAATCCAAGCTCGCGAGGTCGGCGTCGTCGGCGTCGTCGTCCTCGTCGCCGCGCGCGGCGACGTCCGCGAGCGTCACCGACGTCGCCGCGACGTCCAAATGCGCGGCCACGTTGCCGCTCACGACGAAGCGCGCGAGGAGCCGCAGCGTCGACGCCGTCCAGTAGAGGTGGCACCACCACAGGAGGCGGAAGGCGCCCAGGCCGAACGCGCGGCCCGGCGGCGCGGCCGCGGCCGCCGCGGCCGCGGCGCCGTCGACGAAGCGCCACGCGGCCGCGTGCGCGACCTGGAGCGCGACGAGCGCGGCGCAGAAGCGGTGCGTCGGCGCGAGGGCCGGCGCGTTGGCGAGGACGTCCCAGGCGACGCGCGCGACGGCGCCGACGTAGGGCCCGTCGCCGCGGACGGCGCCGGCGGCCGCGCCATGCGCGGCCGCGGCCGCCGCGAGCGCGGCCGCGGCCGCGAGCGGCGCGCCGCCGCCGCCGCGCGCCGCGACGACGACGGCGAGGGCCCCGAGCGTCGCGGCGGCCGCCGGGTGCGCCGCGAGGATCGCGTGGGGCTCGCGGCCGTCGCGCGCGTCCGCGGCGACGGCGCCGGCGGCCGCGAGCGCCGCGGCGGCCGCGAGGGCCGTCGACGCGCAGCTCGCGGCGACGCCGCCGGGCGGCGCCGACGCCGCGAGCGCCGCGGCGCCGCACGCCGCGGCGGCGCACTGCGCGGCGAACGCGCACGCGCAGCCGACGTCGCGCGGCCGACCGTCGGGCTCGCGCGCGGGCGCCGCGCGGCGCGCCGCGGCGTCGCTGCCCAGGCGCGCCATGGCCCGGCTCTCGAAGAGCAGCGACGCCTGCGGGCCGTCGTCGCCCTCGCCGTCGCTCGCGTCGGCGCCCGTCTCGTCGACGCGCACGGACGCGAGGCGCTCGATGGCGCCGGCCTCGCGCAGCGCGCTGACCTCGAGGTCCAGCCCGCCGTCGCTGCCGAAGATGGACTCGCAGAGCGCGCCGTCGGACGGCGCGCGCTTCATCGCTTCGACGCGACGGCAAAGGGAGGGCTACCCGCCGACCATCATCATCATGTGACCGCGCTCACGTTAACCGTCAACGTTGAGGCCTGCCTTGCATGCCGCACACGCCGGGCACTCTCGTCGGGCAGCCCGCGCGCCGGACGCCGGCCGCGCCTCCTCCGCGCAGCGCCCCGCGCCCGGGCCCCTGCCCGCGCGCCTTCGGCCGCCGACGACCGCCGCCGGGCTGCATGCGTGGGCCATGAGCTCCGTCGAAAACGCGCCGCGGCCGCTCGGCTACCGCGGCCACAGCCCCCCGGCGGTGCGCGCCCTCCCGCAGCGCCTCGCGCGGGTCCCACGCCCGCTCCCCGCAGGTGGCGATCTATTCGACGGCGCGCGAGTTCCTCGATTCCTGCAAGTCCGGCTCGCCGCCGGACCGCGACGGCGCCGGCGCCGGCGCCGCGGCCGCGACGCCGACGCCGACGCAGCCGCCGCGGTCCGGCGGCGGCCGCGGCGGCGGCTCGCGGCGCGCGCCCCCGCGGCGCACGGTGCCGGCCAAGGGCGGAAACGACGCCAAGCCCTCCTACGAGGACGTCTACGGCGGCGGCGCCGCCGCGCCCGCGCCCCCCCGGGGCTCGTCCGGCGGCGGCGGCCCGGGCGGCTCGCGCGGCGGCGGCCGCGGCGAGGGCGGCGGCCGGCGCGTCACGGAGCGGGGCACGCCCCGCCGCGGGCCGCC